GAAAATGCAACAATATGTTTACACACAAGTATTGTTATGCAAAATTCTCTTAGTCCCTTCCCCAATTCAGAGGGCAATCTCCACTCAACAAGCCTAATGCTCTTTCCCTGGAAGAGATGAGAAACAGATGCAAAACATGAGGTGTCCCCTGCACCTGCCACAGAGCACTCCCAATTGCAGCAGTCACAGCCTGGCGTTTTGTGACAGCCTGTGAGAGGTGCACGGGGCAGGTCTGGTGGCTTTCCTGGCAGGAGCTGACTGCTGCTTTAGGCCAGAGATGTGGTATGCTGGTTGCTGCCAGCAGATCGGGATGGGAAGGAACAGCAAGGATCTGGCTTCCTCAGCTATTCTACAGGCCTACTGCAATTTATTTGGTAATTATACAAACTCATGTAGTCCATTTCTAGAAGTGCTGATTAAGTTTAGGAGGAACCACTTTGAATTACCTGCCAAGAGCAAAAACTATTCCTTTGTGCATTGTCAGCCTTGAGTAACTCAATCTGGAATTATTTTACCAATCGTTTAGATGTCCGAGTTTAATACAGAGATTAGAGAGTGTAAAGTTAGGGCAGAGCTGACCCCAGCTGCCAAACTGTTTGAAGAAGTGAATAGTGAGTTAGCTTTAATCCGACACACATTTGAAATATGTATTCAGTTAATTCTAACACCAGATGAGTACAGCTAAAAAAAAGGACCTGGCTGCATACTTAATTTACAACGTACCAAACTCATTGTAAATTAAGAATAGCAAAATATTCTTCAGACTGTTCTTGCAGATCATGCTCTCTCACCCCTCTCTCATCTCCCACCATGGTCCTCCACAGTTCAGGGGTAGCTGAAGCAGAGCAAAGTGCCTTCACTCCTCTTCTGCAACCCAAGAGCAGTCTCTAGAGCCTAGCTATCCTTGCACTGGGATTCCCTCTCATTTCGAAAGGATACTTCTGCAGAAAATTGTCATAAACAGGAAAACCTCAATTTAAAAACTATGTAACAGTTTGTTTATTAGGAGAAATGGACAATTAATATGTGGAAATACCCTCTCTTGACCTTTACAAGGTGAAAGGTGAGAGCACTACAGAGAGTACCAAATGTGATTGTGCTGGGTAAGGATTTATGTAATTAGATACATTGGGAGATACAAAAACGTCATGATACAGCCTGAATCAACTTTGCTTAGTTAAACTGCAAGGATAGCTCTGTTTACAAGCCACATGTTTGCAGTACAGTGACTGACTCAGTCAGGCAAAACCCATCAGGTACAGTCTTACAGCAGCAGATGACAAGGCTGAATGATTTTAGACTTTAGGGAGGTTTGGAATTTTTTTTCTATTGATTATATAGCAAAAATAATTTCCATTCTATAATATCTTTTAATTAGGAGTCAACTTTAATGCCTAATTTAAAATGCTACAGTAAGGAAGCAAAGGGTTGAAAGGAGGTGATGTCCACTGTTGTGGTATTACAGTTACTATGTGTGCAGGGCTCACCATTCCCTAGCCCTCAAAAAATCTTTGTTCCCATCTTCATGATGCCTCCTTCTTTTTTTCAAGACTTGAATAATTGATGCAGCCATATCATAATTTCTACCAGGAAACAGACCAAGAATAAAACCTACTTGGACAAAAGGGCAATTGGGGATTATACTTACAAACCAAGAGTGTCATAAACCAGAGAAACTGCCACAGGAGGTTCCAGTACATCTGTCAAGTCAATAATATTCATGATGATTTGCTAAGTGCTGGCTATGAGGACAGAAGTTGTCTGGGAAGTCACATATCTAGCTTTACAGAATGTCAGAACACTTAGGGAATTAAATGAGTAAAAATTTGACCTTCAACCTCTGCTTCTTTTCTGTCTCCTCTTATCCCTCAAGGTACCTGTGCCTTGCCACACAACCTAGCCACTCCCCAAGATGCCTAAGGCATGCTAAATGGAATTACAGATGTTAGGCTGTTTGAAATAGAGAGGAAAATTTCATCAATATTTTCATATTCTAATCATATGATTAAGAGTTATTTAGAGTCTTGGTCTTCAGCAGAACAGCTGCAGTTCTGGAAGCTAAGTTATGAAGTTAAACAGTACTTTTTGTTAAATTTAAATTAAGACCAGAATGCATTTAAATTACCATGTTTTTATCACATAAATCTTAGGCCTTCTCTTGTGTTAAATAAAATAAAATTTTGCCATTCTCTCTAAATCATATAAGGGACATGTTCCAAAGAAACTAATAATTTGCAAATAGTATCACTTAAGAGTGTGTTAGAAATACAGCAACAATCTCATTTTCTCTTTCAACTATGCTGCATACTAACTATTGACAGGCTGGACAGCTTTAACATAGGTCCTCAGAAACACTGCTCATTTACTACCTCTCTAGTCAAGCAGAAGTCACAGCATACCTCTCTTCTTCAAAATGGGACTGTCATGCTACCCTAGCCAGCCTGCTTGACCTCAGTAACCTTCACTCTTGGCTTCTTCCATCCTTTGTGCTCTGTCTCCCACTTCTCTCATATTATTTCTCCTCTCCATCTTCTCAGTTCAGCACTGTGTTTCCCTGTGTAGACTGAAGAACTTCATAAGGCAGGCTGTAAGTGCCCCATACATGCCACTCCACAGTTTCCATTCGGCTGTCAGGGGCGTGAGGACAGGAGCCTCCAGAAGAAGATGCTTTGTGGCAGAGCCAGCCCTCAAAGGACAGACTACAGCGTTCAGGGAGGTCAGCATTCACAGATGGGAGACTACTTGGCAGCAACACCATAACCAGAAAAGCAACACAGATTACTGTGGCCTTCCCTTCCCTCCTCTGAAAAGAGTTTGGAGACAGAAGAAAGGATTGCTCTGCTTTGTGGGTTTCTTTCTGTTTTTAGCAGTTTTGGTTAAAAAGTCAATAAACAAGAATGCATGCTTCTTGTCAGAAGTATCCAAAATAAGAACAAAAACATAGTCCTTTTTTGACATGTTACAACACAGAAGTTCAGAGTCATGAAGAAATAAAAAGATCTGCTAGCATCCAGCATGATATCACATTTAAACTATGTTTCCACTTGGAAAAAACTAGAAACTCAGTAGTTAATACTGTAATTGTGTATAATGGCATCTAGCATTAAAAAAATTAGAAGTATCTCAGTTAATTGAGAGGATCAATGCAGGGAAAAGTCTTTAGTAGTAGTCCATGTGTCTAGAATATTATTTCTTTTGGGAAGTGAAGGAGCTATTTTGTTGTTTAGAGTGCAAATATACACTTCCCATGCCAAAACAGATACTATTCAGCCAGTGAGTATCTACAGGTCTATGGCAGAAATAATGGGCTTCTCCAATCTCTCAACTCTCCATACTCCCAAAAACAGGATCCAGAAAACAGGAGCATCAAAAGACTACCAAAAATCCCAATGATTAGCATTTTTTGTGCATGGCAAAATGTAATAATCATTCACAGCAATCTAACTCATAGGACAAGCCAATTTTAGCTAAAAGAACCTTCTTCTGAACAAGCTGAGGTGAGCCCAAATTATTTTTCTGCTGTGTAGGAAGGAAAGGCAGGTCTTCCCAAAATCCTCCTAATCAGTAAACAGCAGGGATTCAAGAGAAATTTGACCTGTACCTATATGGAACAACCTATATGAAAGTTGATGCCTCCACAGAGTCCTCCTGGAGCTCTTTGGCATCATGGATCCCAAAGTGCCTCCATTACAGCCCAAGCTAAGGAGAAACTCAAAGGCAATTTATGCTGTTCAGCATGCTAATACCTCCTAGTAAGATTTCTGATCAGAAAACAGGAGTAATTATCTCCCAAAGGTTGGTTCTTTGCTCGATTGCCTCCAGTTTCTACAAACCATTCAGAATCCTGTTTAGAACTCCCACAGTGGGAAAGGCATGCACTGAGGAAGGCCATTCTTTTCCCCTCCTCATCTTCAGCAGCACAGATATGTCTTTCTAGATGTTAAAACACTGTGCCACTATGTTCTTCCTGGAATTCTAGATAATCAAAACTTCCTCCCTGATCCCACCCAAACAACTTGTGAACATTTTTTGCTATTTTTGTAGTAAGTAAAGTACTCTCTTTGTGAGACAGTATCTCACGAAACTACACTGCCACTCTGAAGCATCTTTCAGCAAGTTTATCTAACCTCCCAGCTCACTTTTATCTACATATATGAGTATACATTACTTCCTAACAATAGCTTTAAAGTAACTCCTAGAACAAAAATGTATTTCTTGTAATTAGTAAAAGTGAATTTCTTCTTTTATTATCAAGCTAATTTATAAATTCATTTTAATTTTGAGAGTACGAAAATTTAAATTCTGGCTTTGGAATAAGTGTGAGCAGCTACTTTGCTACTCCTAATTTAAAGTAAATTTAATTGACAAAAAAAAAAACCCCAAATAACCTTAAGCCGATTCTTAGTGAAATGCTACAAGGGAGCATCAAGAATTCTCAAACATAGGTATTGACAAAGGAGCAGGATTTTTCTTCTACAAATCAAGTGGAAAGAACTGAAGCCAGTTTGAGCACTCTTGTCAAATAGGACTCAAGTCTCAAAGCAACAGGAAGTGAAATAATGTTTAAATGTGTACAGGATGTGGTTTGAACTAACAGGGGGTTATTTTAATGACAGCTTTTACAAGCATAACTTATTACACTAAATTTTCTACACGGCAGATTTACCCAGTTCCCCCAAATCCCTATTACTATGAAAACTTACACAATCACAGTGTTTTGCAATAAACACTTTGTTATTATTGATACCTTAGCTGTAACCATAAACATTGAATACATGAGAAAATGTGTGACATTTTACAGCTAATACAGGCAAATATATAAGAGCCATCTTCTCGCTAATAATTTTTAATTTGTGAAACTTAGATAACTCTTTGAACTTCATTGTGAATGTGCAACTAAGTATTTGCTCATTTTCTCTAGAGGATAAGTAATAATGAGCACTCACTGTTTTACAATCAGTATACACAAAACACTTAATGAATATTTAACCAGCACTTACATTTTCACACTGCATCCTTCTGGATTTTATGTGGGAAACATTGAGTCCATCAATAACAATATCAAAAGGAAGTCGATTTTCCACAAATGTTTGAAAGGCCTCCAATTCCTGAAATAAATAAATAAATAAACACAGATGAATATGTTGAGTTTAATAGGAAGAAATTCCAGTCCATTTTTATTTAAAAAGAAAATAAAGCCCAAATGTCTCACTTTTCCTTTGTTGCCTACACTTCACATCATTACTTGATTATTTCCTAAAACAACCACACCAAAGAAACCCACTCCATCTTTTAAGCCATATGTCTTACACTGGATACGTCCAATAAAACCATTACAACCAAAAATTACATTACAACTGAAACCTAAAACTTTACAGTTATCAAAATTACAACCTGGATTGTACACTTCTATAAAGATACATGCTATAGTCATTGTCACACAGAAGCTGCTGAACAAAGCAACTTTACAGTCCAGTAGACAGTTTCACCATTACTAGCTCTTAACATATCCAAATGAAAAAAAAAAAGATCATATTTAGGTTCTCTGAAAGAATGATGAAATCTCTGAATGCCAGTCAATATTTAAATAAACAACCATTTAGAAAGATAGTACTCCATCTGCGAGAAACACGTGGCTTTAAGGCTAAAACCATGAACTTTCTGCCTAGGTCAGAAATGTAATGCACTGATTGAGCAAAACATCCAGTTTTTCCCTCATAAGGAAACCACAACTGCTTTAGGTTTGAGAGTCCATAAGAGAAGAACAGACTACAAACCTATAATAAAATCTTCAGTAATTTCTCCCTTGATTTTTGGGGAAAGATTTAGTCCTTTTTTTGCAGACACTTGCATAAGATTTGTACTTTTTGCTTCTGATTGTTTTTAATAAGACCAAGAACACTGCATTATCCTGATGTGTAGTGACCTAGTTGCATAAATTACCTTTCTAGTAACAAGTAAGATTTATTTATCACTGACAGAGCTTTCACAGTCCAGACTATAAATTAACTTTCACAGGAACTCAAAACAATATTTCATGCCTTCTGCAAAGGATTCAAGAAGTACTTGTCTCATCTTGCCTTCTTCCATGTAGCAATTTTGCAACATCCATCTAAATAAAAACCACTGCCTCAGCACCCAAAAACATAAAGAGCATATACAATTCTTCCTTGGAGAAAGAAATGAAAGAAAGAATTAATTTTTCCAGAAAATACAATGCAGTCAGGCAGTAGCAAATGATCACTTCAAAATTAGTTGGAATGCTTATGACAAATTATATTAGGAAAAGGGCTACCTGTACTAATAGTACAAAGCAAGCAAGATAAGATGGCCCACTCAGCTGTTAAAATTTCAGGAATAATTTCCAGGTGAACAGAGGTGTACCAGTCAAAAGCACAGTGATAAGAATACAGACAACACAGGGCTCAGTCTAGCACCCTAGGAATCAATCACCTGTTATGTGATCTTTCATTTCTCTATGGCTTAAATAAATGTTACTATTGAGAAAGTATAAAACACTGGAAAAGGAAATTATCATCTAAAACAAAAATAAATTGTCGGCACTTGTGAAGTATTTTCCCCAACCCCCTGCCCTAACCTCAATGTATTTTCCATAGATGAACAAAAATTCTCATTATCTGACAAGCACACCAAGACACAGAAGGAAGTCACTAGGAAAGGCAGTGGCAGGGACAGCAGGCAGAAACAAGTGCAAAACCAAACAATGTGGATTCCTGACTTCTGAGCTAGCACCACCCATGGACCTCCCCATGGTTCAAAATCTGGAGAGTCAACACTGCAATACTGGATCGCTGTCTGAAATGTGGGAGAGATGAAAAGAAGCAAAACACATGCAGCCCAAATGAAATCAAGATAGAAAAGCTCTGATAAAAAGATGAGTGAAAACAGAAAAGACAAAAAGTGGAAGCAGATAAAACGTGGTAAACATTCCAACACAGTGTTATTTTCTCAATGCTAACAAATGGCAATATTATTTGAAGCAAAATAGTTACAGTCAACACATTTTTAAGAAGCAAACTATACAAGCAATCTTGTCTTTATGGACTCAGTTCAATACAAAACAAACACTTTGCAGAGAATTTTTCAAGTGGCATTTTATTTCAAGTGACAATGGTTATAGAGCAGTTCCTGAAAAGGTGGTTTTCCCTGATGGGCAGAGTAGACTGCTTTGTTCAGGGAATACTACAGCATGAGTTGGGGAAGCAGCAGATGCTGCAGGGCTGCCAGAAGAGTCCTGCTGAAAGACACCAGGATAGGCTCAGCACTCCTCAGAAAGCCATCTCCTGGCTCTCTGGGGTTTACTCCTGGAGCTGGGGAGATGCTGCAGCTTTTTCAGTGTCATCCCTTTGGCCACTGCAGGTTTCTGCACCATCTCCTCCTGTCCGTGTCTCCTAACACTCTCAACAGATGCCTGCCAGACAGCCAGATCAGCTCAATTGTTTTGCATCTCTATGTGTACACTCTGCAAAACAGGGAGGGAAAGTTTGCTGGTGGTGGCAAGAACACTTATTCAGGCAGGGAAATGAGGAGTTAATAGCAAAGTGCAGAAGACAAATGGCCAACTTTAATTCATGTCACCAACTACAGAAGACTCCAATAAAAAGCCTCAGACAGGCTAAAAATCCCAAGGGTCAGTTCATTTTTTTTCCTCACCACCCATCTTTCCCCAGCAACACATGAGAGTGTGTTCTTTCCTTTTCCAGAAAAAAAATACATTAAGAATGACAGAGAAGGTCTCATCCCCTGAGAGACACCCCCAGTTTTTGAGCTGCCATATTTCTCATCTTCTCTGGACACAGGGAAGGAAGAGGGCAAAGCTTGTAAATAAGGAGCAGGCTACCTCATCCAGACATAATACAAATGTCCAAAGACTTACACAGTAGGATGTACTGGGTCTGGCTGAGCTGGAGTTAATGTTCCCCACAGCATTAAGGCTGCGTCTCCAACTTTCCCCCTCACCAGTACACAGGTGGTGGGGAAAATCTTGGGAGGGGACATCACCAAGACAGAGGACTCAACCTGACCAAAGGGATATCCCATCCAAAAGTCACCTCCTCAGAACAACATCCAAGAGAAAGAAGGGGGTGAGGGGAGGGTGTTTGTTATTATGACCTTTGTTTTCTGGAGCAACTGCCATACTGATGCTCTACTTCCCAGGGAGTGGCTGGGCATCACCGGTCAATGGGAAGTAGAGAATAAATACTTTATTTTTCTTCACTTCTGCATGCAGCCTTTGCTCTTGCTTTAATGAACTGTCTCTATCCTGATTCACAAGAGTTTTTCCATCTCATTATACCCCTACACCTTGTTCTGTTGAGAGGAGTAATAGAGCAGCTTGGTGGGCACCTGGTCTCCGACCAAGACCAATCCACTACAAAGAAAGTAGTGGATTGTTTTAATCTTTTAAGGATTGGGATTTGTCTGGATTTTATGCAGCTCTTACTTCAGCCACAGTAGTAAACAGATGATTCATGCACAGTTCCCTAAAGATATCTCCCCATTAGCTAGCTGTTGGAAGAAATTAAAGGCTTTCTTTCCAAGCAGTAAATGAAGCAGAGCACAGCTGCAGTTAGGCTACAACTAATCAAGAGAACCCAGACACAATGGCCATCAATGCAGTACAAGGATGACATGAAAGTTACAGAATCCTAGAATATGCTGAGTTGGAAGGGTCCCACAGGGATCATTGAGTCCAACTCTTAGCCCTGCACAGGACCATTCCCAAGAGTCCCAGGAAAGAGCACCAAAACAAACAAAAAAAGCACAGCAAACCTTACAGTGATTTCTAATTTGTTCTGACTGGGTTCATCTCACAAAGTTTTTAAGGAAAAGTCCATTTTCCTTATGGATTGGAAACATGACTCAAACTGAAGGAACTAAACTAAATCCACGTTTTGTATTGCTTATTGACGTGACCCTCCATAAGGCTCAGGCTCTGCAGAGAAGAACTGCAATACAGCAGGGCTGTTACCTCACTGCAGGACATCCCCCCACACGCACAGCACAGCACTCACAGTGGCTCCAGTGATATCCTGTTTCACGCCATGAACAAAAGAAAAGGGAATTTAAAAAAACCCACCTGATTCCATTCATTGCCTTACTGGAAAAACAGGGGAATGCCAACTATACAACCTTTAAAAATTATTCACTGCACCTTCTATTAAAAAATATTTTCTGCACAAATGCATACACACTGACTAAATCAACTAAAAGAAAAAGGCAGCTATAACCAAATCCATGATGGCATTTATACTGATATAAAGAATTTAAAGAGTTTTTAACTAATTTATTGTTTAATCACTAAGGTGTGGGTGGCTCAAGTCCATTCATACCTTGGCAAAAGCACAAAGAGTTGCATTTTTTTGCCATTCATTCCTGGCTTTGTTCCCTCAACTACCTATGCACACATGCTAGCACACGGAGAAAGACTCGAGTGGATGAACTTGGCCCATACAAGAGTTTGTAGTCTCCACCAGTCCCTCTGCTGAGGTTACAACACAGAGGACTGTCCTGGCATGAAAATGCAGCCAGGAAATGGAATGAGATTGGTAGTAGGTGAGACTAGTGCGATCGCCTTTTCCCACACATAGCCCTGACTATGCTGACTGGCTAAATTATGAAATGACATTTTATGAAATGCAACTCTCAGCCTGGAATATTACAGCAAAGCAAGAGAGGTTGGTTGTAAAAAAACAGAATTGTAGGAATTATTGTTTGAAAAAGCAAGCAAGAAAAAGATGACTAGTTTTGCTACCTTAATTAATTTAAAGTTTTTTTAAGTAAGTGTACCTTCCAAAAGTCTGGTTTATACAGCGAGAAATCTTTGAAAAAACAGCAGTAATGAATATGAAAATAGTACTTTTTGGTAAGACAATACTATTTCAGCTTCTGTAAATACATTTATAGATTTATAGAACAGAAATATACGCATTTCTTCCCATACCAGTGTGCATACAGATTACAAGCTTCAAGACCACAACAAAAATGAGGGAAAGAATTCATTATTAGTACTTACTGATACTATGTTAAACATGATAACAGAAATAAGCATTTCAAAACAAAGAAAATATAACTAAACAAGCAGTAA